TTTTAACGGGTGACTTCACACCATGTAAATATATGCATTCCTAACATAATTATTATAATATGATATCATAGAACGTAGATAATAGATAAACTAAATTCCACTCATTGTAAATATGCACCTGAGGAGCTAACATTAAAGCGAAAACGTTTGTGCAAAATTTGAGTGGCTTTTATTTTATTTTACGTTATAAATGTCTCTTTTGGTTGCACATTGAAACCTTTTCTATATACAACACTTGTATCTTGTTATCAGCAACATTTCACTATATATATATATATATATATGTATATATATATATATATATATATATATATATATATATATATATATATATATATATATATATATATATATATATATATATATATATATATACATGTATAGCCTGTCGGTAATACTAGTGTCATTAAAGAGTTTGGCAACCAGCAAAGGCGACGGCAGAAAACAAAATTACTTATACTTTTGTATTTGAGCGAAAGCTTTTAAAAGCACTTGTCTTTCTTTCAAACAACCTGAAATTCCCTGAAGTAGCAATAGTAAGTGAATTGACATGAACACCGCAACGACTTGAGTTTGAACAACTACGGCGTACTAGAAAGCTCAAGAATGCAAATTATAGTCGCCTTTGTCTCAGAGTAAAGATGTTATTAAGAACGTTGCCGTTGTATTTGCCAAACTCTCTTATACAGCAAAAACATCATTTCAGTCTAGAATATTGTTAAGAGCTTTTGACTGCCCATCATTTAACTTTAAACAACTATTTAATAGTTTTCTATACAACTCGTCTAATACATTTTTTATCGCTATACTGTAGAACGATATTTTTCGATTTCCGCACTTTGTGTTGTCACCATGAATCTATTGTTGTGTTAATATTCCAAGTTCCAACTTTCGGTCCTTGTCTAGGAGAGAAAAAGAAAAGAATCCGCTATAGCCATCGTCATTTATTCATAGAGGACCAAATGGAAGAAACTAAGGACCTTGGTATGAACTCGGTTTGCGATAGTGACGAACCGAACATAGAGGACGTAAAATGGGGGAAATTTCATTTGATATTTGGATCGGTCGAAAATGTTCTTGACAAGTGTTCAGTTGACGCTTTAAAATATTCAAGTTGTCATTTGCGTAATCGTTTGGTTGCTTTTGTTATAGACGAGTCTCACGTCATTGAGAATTGGACTGCAGAAAGGAAAATACAAATTGAAAATGCACATTTTATTTTTATGCATGTCCCGCATAATCTTTCAGACCATTCTGGACCTCTCTCACAAATAATCCCGATATTTTGCAAAAGAACTTCAAAACTATCTTGCCCTACTGTTGGCTTGACCAAGGTCACTATTGAAACGGACTTCCATGTATCTCCGTATGTTACTTTTAAAGAAGCATTGCAACATCGGCAAAATTCGTTCACATGTTCAGCGTTTTTTTGCGTGTAAATGTTTTTGGAGTTTCTTTCCAACTTGACATTACAGACTTATTGTAAACAATCATGCGTTGAAATCGAGATTTGCGTTTTGTTTACATATATTCGCAGGCGGTGAATGTAAAAGGCGGAATGGATTGCGGAATGAAAAATGATGTAAATTTCGCAACATTTTTTACCGGTGATGCAAAACATCCAGAGAACTTGATGGGGGGGGGGACACATTCGTATATTCGTGTTCGATCCGCATTATTAATTTCTTTTGAAATTGATTTTGTTAAGGTCTGTGAATACGAATATATGAATATAGTCCCCCCTCCCCCTCCCACTTATCGAGCTGGCTACGTCACTGCTTGATACTAAAACACATGGAAAGAAATCCAACTAGTGATCCATAGCAAGCTGTGGCTTACACTGCACGTAAAGATTGGGCACGCTATTATCATGCGATACTAACTTGTGTAATAAAGAGACATCCATATTTTCAACCGTCCATGGTTGATTATTCAGAGGTGCAAATGTACTGAGTGAGGCAAACAAAATGAGGATGGCTGGAGATCTTCAAATCATTTTGCCATAGATGCATCGTCAATGATAATTCATATTCTGCTGTGTTGTGCTATGTTGCGTTGCGTTGTGTTGTGTTATGTTGTGTTGGCTAAGATTGGTACCTTAATATCCAATTGCCATGGGAATAAAGCACTCTGAAGCCGCTATACTAACAGTTTTTGCTTGAAATAATAATAAATCCTTTTGTGGTAGTATCTAAGGCTTTATTGTAGAACGTTGGCCTTTATTGTAGAACTTTGGCCTTTATTGCAAAACTTATATATACCTTCACTGCACCATGTTGCCTGAGTTTTTAGTTCCAAAAATTATGGATTTCATAGCGTTCGAAAAATACACCCTTTCGATAATTACGTGTTTGGCCGGGAAGCTTCGACTCTCGAATCGTCAGCAAGTCGATCACCTTTCGTATAATATTGTATTAATATTAATTTGTTAATTGTATTTTACATTTGATTGACAACACTATAAATAGTGATGGGCACAGACGTATTTTTATTGACTAAACCGGCAGGCTCTATTTCAATTCAAAGAGCCTGTTCGCAGGATAGCTTCGCGATGCCATACCACATTTACAAACTTGTTTTTCTGGTTCCGAATACTCAAGAACTGTTATTGCGAGTTAATTAATTAAAACTATGTAACATAAGATAAGATAAGATAAGATAAGATAAGATAAGATAAGATGAGATAAGGTAAGATAATACTTTATTTGACTACGCTGGCCACTTCTACCGGAGCTGCTTTCCAAGTGGGGCGTATAGATAAATTATGTTACAAAAATATATAAAATACATTAAATCACTAAGAATTAAGAACTACGAATACAAAATACATAACACAAAACAAAATAAACAAATGATACAATAGTTAAATAGCTAATTTGTCAGACTCACAGAGGAAATATTTGTATTGAAAAAATTTAAAGATTCGCTGTTTCTTACTTGTTCAGGAATGCTATTCCAGATTTTAACCCCACTATATCGAAAACAATTTCTGCCATACTCGGTATGTGGTCGTGGCAGAAAGAGAGACGAATTTGAACCTCGTAAATTATAACTGTGGATATGGTTAGAATTCTGGAACATTGATGAGAACCTCGATGGTGCCAAATTATTGACAACCATAATTATTCGCCTTTCTTCCAAGCTTATCCACCCTAATTGATCGAGGGCCAGTTGAGATTGCCCAAGCTCATCTTTAAAGTTCATTACAATTCTAGCACATCTGTTGTGAAGTTTTTGTAGTTGTTCAGACTGGCCTCTATTAATGGAATTTCAAACTTCACAACAGTAGTCGGGGGTTCAGTAGTAAATGGGGTTGGACAAGACCATAATAGACTGACTTCAAAGTATCAGAATTAGTGAAATCCTTTATCTTTTTCATGGCACTTATTCCAGAAGATATTGTTTTCGAAATTTGGTCAATATGACTGTCCTTCCTGTCAGTGCCTTTTTAACTATATATCTGGGGGGGGCAATTGCCCCCCCCAGGGAAAGAATTCCCCCCCCCCCCAGTGAAGCCATTTCTGCCCACGAAGTGCGAAGCAGAATTGCTCATGATTGCTGTCAGAATTGCAGTTGATTTACTTGATAATGAGATTATGCCCTTCCATAGTCTCCTCCATAGCCATCTTGTGTGTAATTCATATTGTTCTTCTCCAAGTATTTCATAATAGCGATAGATTCCATGCAAACAATCCGATAAAATGCTAGCCTTTCCAAGCCTTGTGACTATTTCCTAGCATTCTCCTTCGCAGAGGCGTTGTGTTTTGTTTTGGGAGGTTTTATTGCAAAATTTTTTTCTTAAAAATATCAAGTTATATTAAGAGCCCCCCCCCCCCCAATCGCCACAAAAACCATTCTCTCAGAAAGGCTAAATCCGTAGAGAATTTTTTTTTTTTTTTGGGGGGGGGGTACACGTTACATGCTCGAAGCTGAAACTGATTAAGTACGTTTCGACTGAGGAAAAAGACGATATACTGGAGGAACTTGATTTGTGAAATCTCGTTAAAGCAGTTGTAGATATGGTTCCAAGAAGAATAGATTTAATTTAGATTTTTAACTGTTAAATACATGTACCGTATTTACTCGATTGAGCCCCGCCCCGATTAAGCGCCGCCCCCGAATGAGCGCAGCATTTGAGATCATTTTTTTTTAAAGAGCGCCGCCTCCGAATAAGCGCCGCACTAAACAGTGTGATAGTTTTCCGCCGTCAAAATGGGGACATTTTGTGACAAAGACATCTAAAACTTGTTTATTTTATTGTTAAAAGTTCTTGATATAATTCACAAATAAAAGATTTTTTAAAGAGCGCCGCCCCCGATTGAACGCCGCCCTCGAATGAGCGCCGCATTTGAAGCTCTGAAAATTTAAAGAGCGCCGCGGCGCTCAAAGGAGTAAATACGGTATGCATCATCATAGCATGAATATTTCTTCTCAGACTTATTCTGTATTATTATTATTTAAGCTTATTTATTCACGGTAGCCTTTCAGAAGCCTGTTTTTCAAAGGGCCGTGCACACTTACTATAAAATATTATAAGAATATTAAAATTATTAACTAAAAAAAAAAAAAATAAAAAATAAACAATCATGCATAATATACTCTATTTACATCGGCAAGGCATAATGCTTTGATATGGTTTGGCAGGATGACCTCCCAATTCAAAAACACAAGCCATCTATTAATCTTTTAAAAGAACAGATGGAAGTTTCAGGTATTTCCATAATTGGAAGTTTTTCCATTAAAATTTGGTTCCATGAAACTGCTCCTCTATAGGAGAAGCTTCGTTTTAAAAAATTCGTCTTAGGTTTTGGTAGGTAAAGCTTTTGATGATTATTTCGTAGATGGTAGGTTTGGTTAACGGAGACATGAAACATCTGTGTTAAGTATTCTGGAGCCATACCCCTAAGTGCTTTAAATGTCATCAATAATTCCCTCTTTTTAGTATTGATTGTATTTTTGTCCATTTGAGCATTTGAAAAATTTCAGAAGATCGTTCTTCTAAGCCCGAACTGGTAATGACCCGTGCTGCACGCTTTTGCAATTTGAGCATTTTTTCGGCGTGCATTTTATTACCATCATACCATATAGTTGAACAATAGTTGAAATAGGGGAGTACAAATGACTTATACATCATCTGTAGTGTTGCTTGAGGTACGTAAGGCTTCACTTTTCGTAACATAGCTATAGAACAAGAAATCTTTTTAGTTTGTTTTTCAACATGTTTTGTCCATTGTAATTTATCGTCTATTTCTAAGCCTAAGACCTTTTTCTTGTAAACCCGTTTGATTATATGATCTCTAATTTTAATAATAGGGTCATTTCTGATCTGTTTTAAGCGCTTTCCTGAGCCGATTAGCATATACTCGGTTTTTTCTTCATTTAATGTTAATTTGTTTGCATCTAACCAAGTCTTAACGTTTTGGATTTCCACCCCCAATTTGTATTCAATTTCAAAAGAAGACTCCCCAGTTGCAGTTAAGCTTGTATCATCAGCAAACATGGCGGGTTCAGTTATTTCTAAACTATTTGGCAGATCGTTTATATAAATTGTAAACAGGAGTGGCCCAAGGTTAGATCCTTGTGGGATGCCGCATGTAATATTTTGGAAGGATGATAGCGAGTTATTTACTTTGCAAATTTGTTTCCTATTACTAAGATATGATTGAAACCATGACAGTGCTAATCCACGAATTCCATAACATCCCAATTTGGATAATAGAATTTTATGGTTTACCGTGTCAAAGGCCTTTTTAAGGTCCAAAAATAGGACACCATTAATCAGACCAGCGTCCATGTTTGCTAACCAGCTATTAGTTACATGTAGTAATGATGTTTCAGTTGAATGATTTACACGAAATCCAGACTGAAATTTGGAAATTATTTGGTGGTGTTCCAAATATTTCATTAATTGTTCATGTACAACTTTCTCAAATACTTTGGGAACTATAGAAATGACAGAAATCGGCCTATAATTACCGCAAAGGGTTTTTTCTTCTGATTTGTGGATAGGTGTTACTTTAGCAATTTTCCAGTCATCTGGAAAAATTCCAGTCCTAAGAGATTGGTTAAATATATACGTTAGTGGCACAACGACTGCACCCCCAGCGGCCTGCAATAGTTTCACAGAAATTTTGTCATAGCCCGATGATTTAGCAGTTTTCATTTGCTTAATTTCCTCCCTAACTTTATCACGGGATATAGTTTGAAAATCGAAGTTGTGTGGTGTAGATGCTACGAAAGACAGTGGATCGACATCACTTGCGTCTATATTTTCAGCTAAACGTGTACCTATGCGCGAGAAGAAGCTGTTAAATTCTTCTGCAATATTCTCATCTCCTACTATTTTTCCTTCGTCAACAACCAATTCATTAATTATAGTAGTTTTTGATGCATTGTTTAGCAATTCATTTATCAATTTCCAATTCTCTTTGTGGTCCTTGCATGCATTTAGTTTACTTTTATAATAATTGCTTTTGGTTTCCTTGATTGTTTTATTCAAATTGTTCCTACATTGTTTATACTCATTAAAATAATAGATTGAGTTATGCGTGACCGCTTTCTTTTTTAGGAAATCTCTGCGGTGACTAAGGTACTTAATCTCCGTTGTTATCCAAGGGTTATAAGTGCTTCTAACTTTCCTTTGTCTTAGAGGTGCATGCTTGTTAGCTAAAGATAGAAATATAGTTTTCCATACATTCCAATCTCATTTGGTTCATCAAGATGATAAACATCATTAGCAGCAAAAGCTTGATTTAAATCATTTTCAAATGCTCGACTGTTAAAATGTTTAAATTGCCTGGTTTCAACAATTTTTGGTTTTTCCCTTTGGGTACTCATTTTGCGACAAGTATACACCAGACTATGGTCGCTAATTCCAAGGTGTATGACTCCAGAAGCAGTAACATTCGTATTTCCCAATTGAGTTATAATAACATCTATCAATGTTCTTGTTTTAGCTGTTACACGTGTAGGTTTCTTAATGAGTTGTTTTAACTGATAAACATCCAATAATTCAATTAATTTTTTTGTACTTGAACTTGCCGTATTTGTATACAAATCGCAATTCAAATCGCCTAGAATAATCAATTCCTTATGTTCTGCCTCGGCCTTTTGCAGAAATTCTTCAAACAAATTGAATACTTTTGCATTCGAATCAGGAGGTCTATACCAAGTCAAAATCAAAATTGGCCGACTCATACGTAGCGTTAATTCAATACAGATTGCTTCAAGATCTTTTGGAATTAGATCGTCTCGTACAGTGTACGAATAGTTATTTTTGACAAGAAAAGCAACCCCTCCGCCTCTTCTATTCCTATCTCGTCTAATTATCTCATAACCTGGAATCTGAACCATGTTATTTTGAATAGTCTCATCTAATTTCGTTTCATTTAAACTTAATATTTCAAATGGTAGTTGTTGGAGAAATAATTTTAATTCGTCTAAATGTTTTGGAAGGCTAGTTATATTCACATGGGCAAATTTTAATCCCTTTAGTTTCGGATAAATAACTTTTTTATTATTTTGATTTGGTAAATTGGAACTGTATCGTATGAAAAAGCAACACAATTTTCAGAATGCGGAAATGGTGTCTCGTAGAACCTAAAATGATTTAAATGCAACATTTCTCGTCAAAATCACATTGGAATCCCCCCTCCCAGCATCACAGAGAGGAAATAAGGTGACACTGACCCCTACTCCTATTTTTGAAGGTGAATTTTCCAAATTATTTAATTCCGAGTAGAAATGTCTGGAAAAATTCATGTCTTCGATGTACTTTATAATCTTCGGATTTCTGCATGATTTCACCCCAAAATGCATGAAATCGCAATTCAGGGACCCTAGACTGTTTCATAATTTTCCTGACCCCGGACATTCCTAGACGATCTCACGCCTTCGGCATGAGGTTCGCCCCCGCAAAATTAAGGTTTGGGTACGCCACTGGTTATAGATGTACGATTATAGCTACAAAGAGTTGAAGTTATTGTTTAAAGTAAAATATAGCTGAAGTTAATAAATTAAAGTTTTACCAAATCTCTCTTCCGCCTCGCGCTAGTCGCGCGTTCGCCAAACGTGGAAGGCTCATATTTTTTTTCTTCCTTTTTTTCTGTTTTGCCCCAGTGAAAATTCCTTAAAAATGGCACTGTTTGAACTCCTTTAATTGGTTCATCTCCAATAAAAACACGCGGTTGTTCTTCCAACCTGTTAATATTGTGGCGTGATCCAGTCAAAAGATATTCCGTTTTGATAAGGTTAAGAGAAAGCTTGTTTGCCAGAAGCCATTCTCTGAGTACTATTTACAACATGAGCGGCCGTGTTGTATCGGATATACAAACTCGAGCCGAAGGCGAGAGTTTGTATATCCGATACAACGCGGACGCGAATGTCGTAAATGACTCTAAAAAACCACTCATCTTATGAGTTCATTGGCGAAGTAATTTTAAAAATAAACGTTGTCTAAGCCGAGAAAATCAAAGTTAAAGTTTATGTAAATCAACATGAATCTGTATCACATATACAGATACGACACGCATATGATTTCTCTTCGTGTGCATATGATTTTTCTTAATGATTTTTTAATATTATTGAGACCAGCATTAACGGCCACCTCAGCTTCCTTAATTGATTTACCGGACACTGTGATGTTAGTATCGTCGGCGAACATACGTGCTGTAGAGTGTTGTAAACAGTATATCATATAAGTATATCATATATATATAAGCGTAGGGCAACAAGGAAATTATTGCTTCGTTGTAATACACACAAACTAATTACTAAAACAATATTACGAATTGATACTGTAAAGGAAAGATCATGCAAGACTTTTGATGTTCGATACTATGCTGGTTTATGCTTAGTATGCTTTATAATTTTTTTTCCCAGCGACGCTCATTAATCATAATCTGTCAAACACCAATGTCCGGTTGTGAGGAACATTACACGGTTAAATCATTCACATACGTACTGTGCAGAAGGAAGCATGTGTTTGCTCTGTCAGTGCTATCGGTATGCCTCGTTCTCGAAATAACTACTCGACCGCGTTTGAGCGTATCCACGTATCCACTAATATATACATAGCTACCTTCAACACTATATGACTACTTAATCTATTAATGCTAAGTCACTGTATGCCTCGTAGCTACCTTTACTACCATGGGATTTTAGTCTATCAATCCATTTAGTTAATCTATTGAGAATAAATACAGATGTATTAATACATCGTATCCATAATGTTTGAAAGGCATAACTTAAAAAATGGCCAGGTATTCTGCAATATATCGCTCCAAAAGAGTTACAAACTAAAAAGAGTTTCAAAAGCAAAGAAAAGCAAGTGGGAATGGCGAATATAACTTAATAAAATATGTTATAGATGTCATCACCACACATTTAAAGTCGCAATGTATCCTGCTCAGATTTTGGCATCTCAACCATGCAATACAATATTTCGAAATCACCAATTGCGCGCGCAAGACACACTGCGAAGCGCATTTAATAAGAAGAGTATCCGCTGAATGTTTTGTTTAAAAGCGCGGATCAAAGATGCGTCCGACTACCAATGAGGAGTCCGACTGTCTACGGAAAAAATTGCCACGACGAACGGTCTGTATTCTGATGCCATTACAAGTAGAGTAAGCGGTTTTATAGCGCTTCCGTAAACCATCAAACACTGGAAAAAGGTAAATAAGAATTTCTGGTATTTGAAATGCTTGATTTTGTAAAAGAAATGCACCAATGTGTAGAGGACGACAGGCACGCAGGTAACAAATGGCGAATGCTACAACCAGCACGATGATATAAATTGATATTAATGTCTCCGCGTGTTTGTTTCCAGCTTCATCGCATCCTTGTAACATAGTTTGACTACGTCTCTTGTAAACATACATACTTTAATGTGACACCTGTGGCTATGTAATTTCAATTCGGCCCTTGGGACGCATCCTCTTTGGATTGCTCTTGGTCGAAAGAGAATTCAAAACACTATTTAGAGTGTTATTTTTGAGCTTCTATCTTAAAAACTGCATCTCTTATTATGGTATTTCCATTTCTGGTCTGATTGAGAACTAACCCCGAACTTCAGCGTGTGACAGGCGCGTGCGAGTAAAAACCCGATATTTTGAAAAATTAATATTTCTACTGGCCGCATTCAAACGAAATTTTCTACACGAAAGCGCTTGAATACAAGGAGTATACTATTTAACAGCTTTGACTTGTGGCGAATTCCGAAGAGTTCAAGAGATATTCAAGTTTTTCTTGATATGAAATATTTGTTTGTTAAAAGTAAAATTTAGGATTGTTTTGCTTTGTGTAATGTTAAAAAATCTTAATTACTTTTGACCATCCACAAAGATTGAAGCACTAGTCAGTGAGATCAATCAATCGTGCATTAACATTATGATTTTATTTTCAAAAAGGCGTATGTTATTTAGCTTTCTCATCATTAGATATTCATAGCATTTCGGCCAATGATATGGTGGAATTTACATCACGTGTATCTATCTGGATATCCCGTCTAGACCTGAGGCCGGTTGTTCAAAGCCCAATTAGCGCTAACCCTGTGTTGAATTTTAATCTGCTGTTTTTGTTAATGTATTTCTGCATGATCATTCTTTGCAAAACTTAGAAAATAAAACCTCTATTGAACCAGAAAAGATTTCTGGGAAAAGATAATCAACTTGATTGACGAGTTTTTGGAAAATTTAATTTGTAGATTTGTGTTAACCCAGGGTTAGGCTAACCGGCTTTTGAACAACCGGCCCCAGGACTTTAATTACTTAAGTGGGAAGGGCTTTGAACATTAGGGAAATTGAGGGGTAAACAAAATATTATGCAAACATATTTAATTGCTAAGTTTAGAATTAATTCTAAATACAGCAAGCTGTATTTAGAATTTTTTTCTAACTGTACTTTAGATCTAATACTTTTTCTCAACGTTTGGAAACTACATAAATATATGAAAAGGAAAATTACGATTTTTTACTATCATAATAATTAGGGCTTTAAACACTACAGCAATAACAACTTACCAGTAATGTTTACCGTATAATATATTCACTTCGCGCCTCTTCCATTTTCCACCAGATAGCGGCTTATCGCACACACAATCTGACATATATATAGTTTTTTCGGGGTACGGATCTCCATCCTTGTCAGCGAGTAACGTGAAGGTCAGGCCCTAATCACAGAATAGGGCCTGACACAAAACCTGTCTAAACTGTGGGATTCCCGTCCTTCTGGTGGGCGGGAAATCTGATTGGTTGATCAGCATCATGAAAGATTTTTATTGGCTGCAAGTTCACATAAACAACAGTTTTAAAAATAGCTCGGTCAAGGGCTCAAGGCAACAATTAATATAAAGGTCAAAACGCACGTAACAAATTCCATTATCGATTTCTTCGAATTTCTTTTCTTTTATGCTTTATGGCAGAAAATAAATCAGACAAACAGTATTGTTAAATAGAGAATAATACATGGGTGCGTGGAAATACCAGCTTTATTTCGAGTGTTGAACATATCATGTTCAACACGAGAAATAAATCTGGTATTTCCAAGCACCCATGTATTTTTCTGTTTATTATAAAAAAAAATTCAGTGAAAAACAATAAAACGTCCGTGGCAATGCGTTTTACAACATGTGATATTTTCACACGTAAAATATCGTATTTTTTTACGTGTGTTTAAATACGATTTTTCTCAGTGGCCAAAAAATCCATATAACACTTATGTTTATATAATAAAGGGCTTTATCAAAATCCTTGACGTAATATATGAACAACGAGAGCGAGTATTTCACCGGGATATAGTCGAGGACCTGTATATGAGTTTGTATGCATTTCATTTAGGACAGATAATCTCAACTGTTTTAGGGCAAGTTGACCATGACGGTCAACATGGTAACGCTGCCCGAACCCCAATCCGGGACGAAACGTCCGAAACTGACCACACCCAAAAACGACGCTTTTGCCATACTGCTATCTATCAAACCATAAAAGTTTTGGCTATTCTGAGGTGCTTATATGGTTCAGAGATGGTACTTTTGGGGTGGTCATTGGTAAGTGTGAAATGCCTAGCACTAATATTTCACAAGAAAATGACCATGCAATAATCATAGTTAAACGTCAATTTGTGGCTTACAACTTCAGATAAACAGCAGTGGACTTACATTACCTTTTTCCCTAAATCTTTTTGATAGAAACATAATTGGTACTTATTTAAATATATTATCACTGGTTTGGTGTAAATAGTTAATATTTTCTGACCGAAATAATAATTTGAAATGTGCCTACCTCCTGCAAATGGACGTATTTGGCCAAATTCTCCACTTTACTCCGCTGTTTATCGGCGATCTCGTCGACATCCTACAAAAATGTAAATCATCTCAGACATAATGGTATCAAGAACATTTTAAGCAAGTTCAACTTGGTTTCAAGTAGATCATACCTGTTTAACCATCGACAAGGTAAATCCCCAACTTTGTCCAAATTCGACGCCATTTTGTCATCCCATGTCGGTTTTCAACAATTAGGCCTTGTTACTCTTCCATTCACGCCATATCCATTGCACAAATAACAAATTTAACCCTTTGTTAAGGGTATTAAAATAAAAATACAAATGAAATATGCGAAATGCAGCATTTTATTACCCGGTAAAATGTTGCTTACGAGTCCTTCAAAACATTTCGTACAAATCTCGCGTGGTTTAGCAACAGGGACGTGACAGGGGGTAGAGACTTGAAAAATGAAAGCAAAGCCCCACACAGTATCGTAAAACCATTAAACCAACAATCAGCATTTAATTTGTATGACTTGTTCATATTAATAAATAATAATATGTATATATTTGTCGCTACAAGAAATAAAACAAACGTTTGTATGATTGTCTTTAGCTTTTAGTCTATTTCACGCAGCCTTCTTCTATCTTCGTGAAATAATTCAACCCCCCCTGTCACGTCCCTGTTACTTTGTCACGCGAGATTTGTACGGAATGTTTTGAAAGACTCGTGAGCAAGATCTTACAGGGTGATAAAATGCTGCATTTCGCATATTTCATTTGTATTTTTATTTTAATACCCTTAACAAAGGGTTAAATTTGTTATTTGTGCAATGGAAATGGCTTGGATGGAAGAGTAACAAGGCTGAATTGTTAACAAGCGACATGGGATGACAAAATGGCGCCGAATTTGGACAAAGTTGTGGATTTCCCTTGTCGATGGTTAAACAGGTATGATCTACTTGAAACCAAGTTGAAACTTGTTTAAAATGTTCTTGATACCATTATGTCTGAGATGATTTACATTTTTTGTAGGATGTCGACGAGATCGCCGATAAACAGCGGAGTAAAGTGGAGAACTTGGCCAAATACGTCCATTTGCAGGAGGTAGGCACATTTCAAATTATTATTTCGGTCAGAAAATATTAACTATTTTACACCAAATCAGTGATAATATATTTAAATAAGTACCAATTATGTTTCTATCAAAAAGATTTAGGGAAAAAGGTAATGTAAGTCCACTGCTGTTTATCTGAAGTTGCAAGCCACAAATTGACGTTTAACTATGATTATTGCATGGTCATTTTCTTGTGAAATATTAGTGCTAGGCATTTCACACTTACCAATGACCACCCCAAAAGTACCATCTCTGAACCATATAAGCACCTCAGAATAGCCAAAGCTTTTATGGTTTGGTAGATAGCAGTATGGCGAAAGCGTCGTTTTTGGGTGTGGTCAGTTTCGGACGTTTCGTCCCGGATTGGGGTTCGGGCAGCGTTACCATGTTGACCGTCATGGTCAACTTGCCCTAAAACAGTTGAGATTATCTGTCCTAAATGAAATGCATACAAACTCATATACAGGTCCTAGACTAATATCCAAACACGAGAAAACAATGCATGAAAACACGAGCACGAAGCGCGAGTGTTTTCATACATTGTATTCGAGTGTTTGGATATCCCGGTGAGACACGAACTCGAGTTGTTTATATGGCTTCTCAAATGAATCGATACGTAACACTGAGAATGTTTTCGGTTGCTGATTTGAATAGAATGCTTAACCAAGCATGATGTACTTAGGAATTCTATTCAAGTAATTTTGCATGCATAATTAAGATATTTGATGAAAACACTAGTGACTTTCATCAAGTATCCAAAAGGCACCTTGTGATCAAATAGGTGATTATCATTGGCTGAATTGCTCATGAATTATTAATGAATTTGAGAAGAATTTTGGACACACGACGCTGAAAGAACAGCCAAACTAGTCATGTATTCGAAATCTTGTTGTTGACAATCAAGATGTTCTGCCAACTGGTTTCGCCGGCAAAAGTCTTATTTTTAATATCAGGTCCTACCGGCGTTGTTTTCTGAGCTACATCGCCTTCTTCATGGTACGATTGAGAATTTAATTTGTTGCTGTTGTTAGCCCGTTAGAGTATATCCGCGTCCAGCAAGTTGAGACCTTGAGAAAGTTTGGCAGTCAAGCCCTGCACAGAACTGACTAATTAAATATTTGCTTGCTGTTCGGTTAAATAGAGAAACTGACCCTTAATTATATAAAAGTACCTTGAATTTTTAAGTTTAATTAAAAAGCCAAATGCACATTCTGCGAACTTGTTCATGAGAATATATGAGAGTATAAATTTTTTGTGTAACAAAATCTACAACACTTGTCAATCATATTGCATGCTGTGTCTGAAATTAACATGTGGGCGTCCCACGATCTAGACAGGTTTTGTGTCAAGCCCTATTTAAAATTAGGGCCTGAACTTCAGGTTAGTCAGCGAGTGGCTTTCTTTACATTTTAATTTCAATACTGTGCTCAACACTTTCCGGTTCTCAAAAACGCTTTTCTTATAAGAAGATGCCATGCTCTTACGCTATTCATAACGAAAACGAACTGAATGCTTCGTTATACTTCATGAAAACTTTCAAGCGAATGTAATCGTTAATACGTACCACGCTCACTTTTTTGAATATCTAATAATTTTATGCCTCATTGCTATGAATATCTAATGATGTGTGATAAGCAATTTCAAATCCTCGTTACTGTTTTAAACTTGGCTTCCAAATCCTCAGTGCCATGAATAATGCTCGGCTGCGCCTCGCCATTGTTCATGGCACTTGTATTTAGAAACCACGTCTAAAACACTAACTCGGATTTGAAATATTACTAAAAATCACCTGTTGTTTCGATGTTTACACTTTGTCCCACTTTGCGATGCAAATCGTGCAGAGGCTTCGCGCCTTTCCTTGCCTTCGCCCTTTTCCGCCTGTTCCAAGATCCGCCATGTAAAGTGTAGTGAAATGTATCTCAATATTAATCGTACTAAATCATGGCCAACGGAAGCCTTTGCGGAGGTGATGGACCGAACAGGAGTCGGAGGAAAGAGGCTCGAGCAACCGCACAGTAGGAGAGTCAACTTTTATATAGCAGGACTCAAGAGTAACGAAGAATTCAAGATCGAAGCACACGAGATCGACAAGACCAGTCTAAATGTTCCTGACTTGGACCGAAATTTATATTTGCTCAATTCATTCTCTCACCTCCAAGGTATCCAGTTTGATCATATTGCGGGTCCAGTTAATCTCATCCTAGGAGTCCACTACACTCATCTACATGCAGAAGAAGAAACACGTCGTGGTGACGCCTTTCAACCAGTGACTAAGAAAACTAAGCTCGGGAGTTATGTAATTGGGGTAAACGAAGAGTCTGGAACTCCCGAAGTTTATTCAATACATCTCGTCCAAATAATCGACTTGGAGAAATTCTATGAATTCGAAACACTTGGAGTCCAAGCTCCCAATCGTCAATGCTCTACCTTACGTCTGTCTCCTGACGATAAGCGAGCAATAGAACCAATGGAAAAGTTATGTAAGCTCGAAAACAACCGTTACATCATTTGTCTCCCGTGGAAAAGGGATAAAACTTTGCTACCCAATAATCGTTCGTTAGTAGAGAGCCGACTTCAATCGTTGGAAAAGAGTTTAAGTAAAAATGAAGAAAAGGCGAAAATGTATGACGACGTTATTATCCAATATCAAGCCAACACCTGGGCGATTCCGTTGAGTGAAGAAGATCTGAAAGTCGAAAGGAAACCCGTGTATTATTTGCCCCACCATGGGGTTTACCGTCCTGACAAGAAAAGCGCCCCAGTATGAGTCGGCTTCGATCCCGCGAGTCCATACCAAGGTGTATCATTGAATTATCTCGTGTACAAAGGTCCAGGACTGATCGGCAACTTACTCGGAGAACTGCCACGCTTTCTCGAAGAGAAAGTCGTGTTTACGGGAGATATATCGAAGATGTTTCTCCAGATCGATCTTAATTCCCGAATAAGACACCCATGTGCATCACTTTCTATGGAGAAACCTTGAAAAGATACGTACGCTTTGCAAAGAGCTACGTTTGGCGACAAGCCATCCCCCGACATGGCTAGCTTCGTCATGCTTAAAATCGCGGAAGAAAAGAAGAAAGAGTGTCCACACGCAGTTACAACCTTAGAACGAGACAGATATGCGGACGACCTTATTCATTCCTGTCCAAATACAGAAGAAGCGCCAGAGAGTATGGAAGAAGTCGACAAGGTTTTGGCAACCGGCAGTTGCGTTGGGAAGGAATGGCTATGCTCATCTAATGTCCCAAGCGCAGCGAAAACGGACACGCCTAAGTCACCGATCGTCAGCGAGAATGAAACTAATCCAAATATGTTAGTTGTAAGCTTGAATGGTGAGGAAGAGACGAAAACTCTTCGCGTAGTTTTGAAACCACGTAAAGATGTATTAAGTTTCGCGTCAAGAGAAATCAAAATCGAGAAGTTGAAAAAGAGATCAGTCCTATCAAGTATTTCAAAGCTCTATGACCCACTAGGTCTCGCGTCTGCCGTCACAATAAAAGCAAAGGCGCCTTGCAAGAGATTTGGAAATTGAAGCAGTTCGACTGGGCTGATCTTCTACCGAAAGAAACTGGCGAAACCTGGAAAGGGCTGTTTGAAGAAATAGAGCCTTAATTTAAAGAAATCCAATTTCCGAGGTGTTTGCAACCGGAAGTCGTAGTCGGTTTCCTTGAGCTACACGTGTTTGCCAATGCACGTCAAGCAGCATACGGTGCCGTCGCGTATCTAGTTTGGTCGACCCCCGAGGGTCCTCGAGTAAAGTCTTGTGTCCTCGAAAGCCAGAGTGGCTCCAATACGTCACACCTCTATCCCAAGGCTGGAGTTGATCGCAGCTCTAATCATATCGCGTCGAGATTCGCCCAGACCATCTATTAAGAATTTAAGTTCAAGCCCTCCTGTATAACGTGTTGGTCCGACTCCAGGATAGTCCTTAATTGGCTAAGATCGGAATCAGCTACCTTTAAAGGCCATGTTATACGCTGCAATTTTTCTTGCAACTTGCAATGCAATTCTACTTTTGAGAGATATAGAATTGCCAAATACGAGTTTTCATTACACTCCGCTGATGTTTTCTCAACATATCGAAAATTCTTCACTGATTTCACTAATTAACATCTCTCAAGAGTAGAATTGCATTGCATGTTGCAAGAAAAATTGCACCGTGTAACATGGTCTTAAAACGTTAGTGGGCGTTCTTGTCGCCGAAATTCAGGCAGCTTGGGATCCAAATTGTTGGCGAATGTCCCTTCCGAAAGCAATCCTGCTGATGATTTGAGTCGGGCATTTCTGTCAAAGAGTTGAGTACGTATAAGGGTCATTGGATCAACAGGCCAGATTTTCTTCCAAACCAAGAACCGAGTGGCCCATCGACGAGAGGCGCGAAGTCTCAAGCGAAGACTCCGAGAAAAAGAAACCACCAAAGCCCATGGCTGTCGTCAGCAAATCACAACCGTAGCTAAACGCAGAAGTTTCTCCTTGTGGGAGAAACTGTCAAGAATTACCGCACATGGTCTACGATTTGTCGACAACATGAAGTTTACAATACGAGATCCATCGAAAGTCCGACAAGGAGTGCTAAAGCCAGTGGATCCCTAAAACGCCGAAGAGTATTGGTTTCGCGAATGTCAACGCGACGTAAATTTGGCAGATTACCCAAACCTATCTCGGTTCAGTAAAGATGGCATCATACGAGTTGGGAGGCGTCTGAACAGATCCCGATTGCCCTACGAGCAAGTGAACCCTGCCCTTCTCCCAAGAAGCCACCACATTTAATCCCTCATCATGCGAAATATGTATATCAAAGTAAAGAACGCGGGTTGCGAGAAAACCCTCAGCGAATCAAGAGCCAAGAATTGGATCCCTGGTGGAAGGAAACTTAAGGACATAATGATGTAAAGCTTTAGTAATAATAATCCACCTTAAGTAAAAAAATACAGTGGACTTACAAATTGATAAACATTATAAAACCAACTATATTACAATAAAAATTTGTATTTTTAAAAAGGTTCAGTTGCCAAAGGCACAGACGACGATTATTTCCTTCAGTTCAGAGAATAATGCAACCTACATTCAGCCTAAAATTACAGAACCGTCTATTGCAGTAGTAATTTAAAGTTTATTATTAAAAAGTTTTGCTGCACGAGGCATAAACGATGATTTATGTCTTTCGGTTCTGGAAATAATGCGACCTACACTAAAACCTCTTTCTTTAGTTCTAGTGGAATAGTCGTGCTTCTGTGCGATAGGGACAAGGTGGTGACAGGGATGGTTTACGTCCTGAGTAATTGCCTCCATTTCTCGAAGAGTTAGCTTATCTGTTCTCTCACTAAGCGGGTGAAGTGTATCGACCGGTAAACCAATAATACGTAAGCTTCTCCTTTGAATACGTTCAAGGTCGTTCACTAAATAGTGAGGTAGGTCACCCCAAACTGGAGCGGCATATTCAAGCAGTGGACGAATTTTGGTGCAGTAAGTTGCCTATCCTACTTCAGTAGGAAGGTGAGCCTTCCTGCACTGCCTTAGGTGAAACAGTCTCCTGTTTCCCTTACGAGTAATTTCTTTGATGTGAGAATTCCATTTCATGTTACTTTGACAGCTAACACCAAGTACCTTGAATGAATGAACTCTTTCGATCATAACATCCCCGATATAAAGTTGGGAGGCTGTGGGTTAGATTTCCCAAAGCAAATCCACATATCTTTCGTTTTCTTTGCGTTCAACATCATTCTATTAGCGTTTGATCAGTTCTGAACCGAGTCTAAGACTTTCTGCATGTTGCTACACTCTCCTTTCATGATGCATTCGCTTTGCGTGCAGTCATCGGCATATTTATATGTGCTCACCTCAAGATCTTCAGGAACACTCGTATCTAAGTCGTCAATGTGGATATTAAATAAAGTCGGCGAAAGAGCAGATCCTTGCGGTACTCCAGCTGGGCAACCCTCGATCGATGAAAGTGTTTGATTTATCTTGACCTGCTGAGTTCTACCAGATAAGAAGCTTTTGACCCACAACCAGAAGCTTTTATTAACATTCATCAATACAAGTTTATTCAACAGGATCCCATGATCAACTAGATCAAAGGCTTTTTTAAAGTCGATAAAGAGGGCACGGATGCCTGCTTTGTCACGGCAGGTATTGTCAGTAGCATTAAACCATGTCTGTGTGATGGAATCAGAGCCGATGTAGTAGAGCGGCCACTAGTAAAACCATGTTGACTGGGACGTAGTATGATGTCATTTTGATTGAGTTCTATTGTACTCTCTCTAGGATTTCCCCAATATGTGGCAAAACAGAGATTTGTCTAAAATCATTACTAACGTCAGTTGGTGGGTATGCTTTAGGCACAGATGTGACCAGGCCATGTTTGTAATGACTTGGATACTTACACTGTTTAATGCTAGCCGTAATGATGTCATGAACAATCGGCGCTAGATCGCTAGAGAATCGTTTAAGTAACCATGCTGGAACACCATCTGTTCCCGTTGTTTTCGAGTGGTTAAAGTGATTTAGGACGCTCTTAATCTGGCCAATACTAGGTAGAGGGAGAGGATAGTTTTTGAGAAGTGACTCAACTTCATCTAGTTGGGGAATACTTGTTGTAATTAGGTGTTTCCAT